TCCGTGAAAAAGAAAACGATCACTCGAAGAAATGGTGAAAAGATGACAAGCACAGGCAGAGATAAGAATGGCAACAAGAGACTGATTTCCTGAAACAACAAAGCCTTGCGTCTCATGCACCTGCCGTACACTGCATTTAGTAGTATCAGAAAATCCATATTAACAGCCCAGCGAAATAACGTAAGAAGAATCATCAAAATAATCCGTGGGAACAAAAGCTAGAAAAATAAAAAAAACTCTCATCAGTCCTCTATTTTTGAGTCGGAAAGGCACTCGGAAGCGGTCTAGATCGGCAACACTTGCCAATAGCAACAAGCACGTCCAGAAAGAGTTGTAAGGGGATATCGTGACTAAGCTAGAGATAAAAAAGAAAGGAAAGAAAGAAAATGGTCATTGAAACTGACGAAGAAATAGATTGCGCAGGAGGCCCAACGATGGTTAGCATCAAAATTTTTAAAAGAATAAAACCTGGCATTTAGCTGCTAACTCTTTCGAGGAGTGCTTAGGGACGAACTTCCTGGCATGCACCAGAACCAGTTTGTCATCGAATCAAACGGATGAGTCCTAGAGCAATTGGTTGCTATGAGAAGCCCGCTAGCGGTACAAGTTATAATCTGCCATATTATGGCATATTATGTAAATGCAGAAACGTCCAACGGCAAGAGATTGCCTGTGCATATGTCTGTGTGCTCGCACTTTCGTCATCCACCTTCAACTCGAGAGTCAGGGATATTAGGAAACTGAAACTTTGGGAGCACATGCCCACCCTTCTCCATTTAAATATTAACATTCTCATACAGTTGAGTCTCATGTACACAAGTCTAAAAGAAATTATGTAAATTTTTTGGTAGGAAAGAGATCTCGGGAGTCACACAAGACAGAAAGCTGAATTTTCATGAGGATATTCTATGTCCCTGCGTGAGCTAAAAATCATTGGCGACGCACACTGGGGGGCCCCGTGCGATCATGCGTTTTTGCAGTGTTTCGTGCTGTAATAAGATAACTCGAAATTCCGCTAGCTAAAAAGCTCTTATACATACTGGTCCTGGAATTTCGGGAACTTAGTTATCCGCGCTATGGTTGGACAGGGAACATCCTCTTGAAATCCCAGGTTCCCAGCTTTCTTAGTTCTGGAGTTACCCAAATTGCAGCCAAAAAATATCACGGGGCCGTGCGTAGCACTACGCATAACGGGGGGCTGAATTTGATAAATTCAAGCTGTAGATGAGTTGAGAACGTTTCCTGAAAATTTCAGCCTCCCAGCTTCCCTGGTCCTGGAGTTATTCGTTTTCCCTCCAAAAATTTTCACGAGAACGTACGTGGCAACCACGCATGGGGGGAGGCTGAGTTCGATAAATTGAAGTTGCAGATGAGTTTGGAACATTCCTTGAAAATTTCAGCCTCCCAGCTTCCTTGGTTCTGGAGTTATTCATTTCTCCGCCAAAAACTTTCACGGGGCCGTACGTGGCAACCACGCATGGCGGGGGGCTGAATTTGGTAAATTAAAGTTGTAGATGAGTTGAGAACGCTTCCTGAAAATTTCAGCCTCTCAGCTTTCTTGGTTCCCGAGCTAGCGATTTTCGCGCCAGGAACCCTCAGGGGACCGTACGCGGGAACCACGAACCCCCGGGGGCTGAATTTTAAATCTTTAAGTTCTGTAGGGGCGGGGAACATAATCTCAAAATTTCAATTTTCTAGCTTCTCTGGTTGCCGGGTTAGCTGTTTTCCCGCCAAAACTTTAACCCCCTCGTACGCGGGGCCTAGACGTGCTTGAGGGTTGATACCGCGCTCGTGGGATGGTACTTTGGTAGGGAATCCACCTGCAAAATTTCGGCGCCGGAGCTTGCTTGGGTGCCGAGTTGAAATATTCGGAGAGACGCACACACACAT